CTGAACATTCTTATTGTTTTGGACTTAAAAAATACGAATATTTTTACTTTTGCCATAGAGTATATACATATAATCTATGTAAAACATTTAAACATTCGTATTTTTAAAGACCAATATAATAAAAATGTCCAAAGCTATAGATATGTGTCTATTAGTTACTTTTACATATTACTACTATTACAGTGAGAAAGAGAAAAAGAAATAGTTGGTCTAACTAAAATTACAATTATTTTTGGTTCTAACTATATATTTTTTTCTTAGTAGTAGTAGCATGCACATACAGTTATTATTATAAAAAAATATCATAGTAGAATTTAATAAAAAGATAACTTCTTGATCGTAATTTATAGTAATTATTTTTCTATGTGTGATTATAGTTACAAATACCAAACATTTTTTTTAATAAACTTATTCATTAGAGCGACATGAAAATATATCCACTCTGAAAAAGATTGTATTTATAACGAGATAAATCATTTTTTCTCTCAGTATAAGCTGGATTTCAAAACGAATCTGCATTGAAAAATCGCGCGATAATATACTGGAACGATATTTCACGTATTAACAGCCAATAAAATTACATTTATGGAACGCTTCCATTCTGAATGAAAATCATTTGATAAATGTATAATTTCACTTTTCTGGTCTTCCAGTGCGAATTCCCAGCTATATTCGCGCCCTCGATAAAGATAGTTGCGATAGCAATCCGAGACCTTTGGAAAATGAGCGGGCTGTGATCCTTTAATTGAAAATGTTCACGAAATAATTACAGCTCTCGACGAGTTAACGTTAACGTAGGTGGAAAATTGCGTCATCACGAGCTTCAGCGTCCAAACGCAGAGGCGTTCGATATCATCTCCCGCCCGGCAGTTTACGTGCGTGGGTGGTTATTTCGGTTTATTAGAATTAATGCGACCCGGCGGGATTTCACCGCCGAGCGAAGGTTTGCTTCTCGCAGCACGCGATTCTTCTCTTCGATCGGTCACAGGCACACCTGTCGGTTTCACTTTCACCCGCGCCCTCCCGTCGTCGTGATATTCTCACGTGATACTCTTCCGGGACAGCCGGTCGCGCTGCTGTTGCTCTGCTCTTCGAGGTCCTGTGCCCGGCAGCATCACAAAAGTCGTGGACCCGACCTCGTCCCGAGTCTCTTTAATTTCCGATCGTTTCACACGCACACTCACTAATAGCGAATTCAGCCGCTTGCACCGGTGTGCACTGAGTGCGCATTAAAGCTTGTTGATAGTCTCTTCTTATATTTAAGGTGATACATTTTGGAAAACTTCTTAGGCTGGGTCCACGAGCTTGCTTCAATCCGTGAACCATAAGCATATTGAAGCAATCACAGTCAATTGTTGGAAAAATAATCGACTGGTCAATTTGCCTACAGCTTAAAACAAGGTTGTGGACTCAGCCTAAAGGGACATTGGAAGTAAGCAGTAAGAAGTAGGAAGTAAGAATAAGAAATTGACCAATCATAGTTGACCAACCATAATTGATTATTTTTCTCACATTCGACTGTGGTTGGTCAATTTCTTACTCTTACTTCCTACTTCTTCCTACTACTTACTTCCAATGTAGACGCCCCTTAAAGGTTCATCTACAATGGGATTGGCAGTGGGCAGTAAGACGTAAGTAAATTGATCAGCCACAGTTGATTATTGCAAGAATATAATCGACTGTGGTTGGTTAATACTTACGTCTTACTGCCAATCCTATTGTAGATGGATCTTTAGCTAACAAAACCGTACGAATGCTGTACAGATAATTTCACCGGCTAAGAAGTACCTGAAGATGTATTTAAGACGATGTTAAATATAAGAGCGAACAACCTTAGTAAGTATTCAGTATGCACTAGTGCAGGCGGTCGAAATTCGCTATAATGCAATGACGATTAAGATACGCGTAGCGCATAGCCAGCGGGAGCCGCGAAACCTTTGTCCTTTGCCAGGGTGAGTTAAAATAGCTCGGTCGTAGTTCGCTTTGAAGTTCGCGAGGACGAGGGGGTTGAGCGAGGGGGTTGAGCGGGGGGAGAGGGGGAGAAAATTCCGCTACAGCCGCGGGAACGGAAGGCAGTAAAGGAAAACTTCTCGCCGTTTTACTGCCTCCGCCGTTTACGTCCGAGTAGATTTTGTCGGACTGGTCGGGACAATGAGAGCGGTAGATAAGAAGAATGGCTTCGCAACGATCCCGACCGTGATAAAAAAGGAGGAGAGGGAACGAAAGAAAAAGTCGAAACAGAGAAAGAACGAATTTCACTGTCCTGGAACCCGCGGGAATGTCATTCGTGACTCTCTCGCCTTCGTCAAAAAGCTCCACTTGCTCGCCTCGTCTCTTCCGACGAATAATTTTTTTTCTTCCTTAGGCAAAGTGATGTCGCTCGCTCGCGAGTCAGACGTAGATTTTTGCAGAGCGTGACGCTCGCAGAATCGCTCTCGCGGTCTTTCTAGCGACTCTCGAGGAAGTAACGTTCCCTTGTATTTGACTGTACTCGCACACGGGAACGAAATAGTGCAATAAAAATTATACACCAATTTTTTCTCATCCTGGATCACGCAGAATTACGAGTGAAATTGCTACATATTTAGCGAAAAATATTATGCTAAAACCTTTTACTTCAATAAAATTATTGTAATTGCTTGGACGTTTCTTATTCATACATCACGTAGGTTGCCAAATTTATTATTTCTATAGTAACTTACACTAGTATTTCAGTACAGTTCAGTTTTGCAAAAACGATTGTAAACAATTGTAAAAGGAGATACAATTTTAATCTAATTTTTACTGCAATATTTTTTTCGTGTGTATAAAACTAGGACGTTCGCGGTTATTATGTTTTCTGCCTAGATCACCTAGAAAGAACGAGAAAGAAAGAAAGAGAGGGAAAGAGAGAGAGAGAAAAAGAGAGTCTAATCTCACCTCGATAGAATCGAGTGGGCAAAAATACAGTGAAGACGGGCACGAGGGGGCTTTTTGCGAAGACGATAAAGAAAGACCAGGATTCCCTTGTCCGCGCGTAGGAAAGCACATTCTTCTTAAAAGAGCGCTTAATCTACGATGGGAGATCTCCGTCGTTTATCAAAGAGTCGCAGGATATCGACATTCGACTACGATCCAATTGCGGAACTTTTTCGCGGTCCACTCCGACATTTCTCTTTTTCTCTCTCTTTCCCTGTTCTTTCCTTTCTCTCGTCTCTTCCTGTCTTATGCTCGCGAAACACGTCGAGCGATTAAAAAGTCGAGCGTGTGAAACGCTAGTTTCTTAATTTGGCGTCGCTCCACTTCGCCAAAAGGGGGCGCCGCGCGTTTACGTAACGACGAGAGCGCGTCTTTCGCTTCGCATAATTTATTCACTCCGTGTCAACGTACCGAACGGTTGCAATAATTATCAGATGTTTTCGACCATTCGGGAATATACATACACATGTGCACACACATATATTTGGGCATTAGCCAAGAAAACTCGCGGTGCCGTTAGTCTTCATGAATAATTGAAGGCAAATAAATCTTTCGATATTCGCGACGTCGGGCTCGCCGTCTCTTACGCCGCTCTATTGATTATTCGTAGCAAAAGATACGAGTAGGGAGAAAAAAAGTAGAGACACAGAGAGAGAGAGAGAGAGAGAGAGAGAGAGAGAGAGAGAGAGAGAGAGAGAGAGAAACGCGCGTAAGCTCTCGTCAGTTTGAACGTCGGCGCAGTTTCGGTGTTAAACTCCGACGACGGTCGAGAGACCACGATCGCTAATTTTATTATTCGGGAACGAGGGAGCGGCAGCTCACGGCGACGTTATCTCGCTGTGAAAGAAAGCGGCTTATGTTCCGGACAAATTGGACCGCGTGTTACGCAATATGGAACTAGGCTAAAGTCAGTTTGTGATTGTCGACACTATGAGTCGAATGGAGACGAGAGTGGAGTAGTGACAGAGAGAGAGAGAGAGAGAGAGAGAGAGAGAGAGAGAGAGAGAGAGGGGGAGTATTTGTCGTTCTGACTGAAGGTTGGACGACCAGGTGTCGGCCGTCCTCGCGAATATTGCGTAATGTTGCAACGTCCAATTTCAGCTGCATTCCTTTATCAGCGGTAAACACCGAGAGGCACATCCTCCCGCATCGTGATGGGTGCAGGCTGCTGTTGCTTTATCGATCGTCAATTCACTGAACTTCTATTTTTAGAAGGACCTTCCTTCGTCGCCGAGCGACGGCAATGCGAAATCCTGGGATTACCGCGAAGCGGACAATCCGTCGGGAACGCGTCGGAATCTCCCTCTCTCTCTCCTCTCACTCACTCATTCATTCACTCACTCACGCCGTCCTCCCTCCCTGAACTGCATCTCTCGGATTCCCGGATATTTTAATAATTCCTCGAGCGCGAACGCACTCAAACCGCCGGGAGTCGTCCTTGAGTATCCGGATCTCTGAATTTCCGACCCCGTGTGTCGTTTGCGCCGCCCTTTTGTTAACCATTACGGGACCGCGAAACTTTCACGCCATATAACGAACTTTCCCGACGACGATAACAACGCTGAGAGCGGGGAATCGACATATCGCGCGTAATTAAGATGAAACGAACACAACCGAGCGCGACGACGAAGCGTTCGCGCGGATTCGGACTCGCTCTCCCCGTTATACTTAATTCACAGGACAATCAGGCTTAACGAGAACAATTTGAGCTCGTGCGCGCCAAGAGTCATACTCATAGTTCGGTGTGTATGTGCGCGTGTATAGGCTAAATTGTGCTCTCGAGAGCACACACAATCGAGGAGAACGGGAGAGCAGTTGCGCCTGAAGAATCGCGTTTAAATCCATTATCGAGAAAGAGAGAGGGAGGGAGACAGAGGGTGTGAGAGAGGAAGAGCGCCCGTAGAGGGAGAATGGTCGTTTGATAAAAGCCGGAAAAATGGATAGCCCGTATCGTTGTCAGTGTAATATTTTGTCGTTCGGAAATAGGACGCGTTACAAGGCCGGTAACACACACACATTTATACACTGCGCTGTAAACTTACATGAGATCCGGCCGAAAGTGATGAATCATGGCGCAGAAGGCGAGCCCGTCTCTCCAGGAGGTGGTCATGTTTTGCACGTTTACACCCGGGTAACCGTCGGTTATTCGACGGCACCAGAGCTCCAGCGCCTTCGTACCGCGTCTCTCTCCCATCGCGGCTTCCGCTTTTTCCCCTTTCACGCTTCCTCCAGCTTCCAACAGCCGCGAACGCGCGCGTCCTTCTGTCCACCCGGCGAGTACCTCCGCGTGTCGCTAGTGCTCAGTTGGCTTCCTGAAAAAGGAGAAGAAATAAAGTCGTCATGTGAGGTTTCGGCTGATCTGTCACTTGGACAGTTCTTTGACGCGTCAACATCATATTTCCATCGTATTTTATTATACCTAAATACCTTAGAGCAGAGCTTGGAATTAGTTGCCCATTTCGGCCGATTTTCAGGAGCTACGCCTTCTATCTTTCCCTTGCCGCGAGCGGGCCGCAAAAGTGACGGTCGAGCCTCCAAGCTTGAAGCCGCGACTGGCCGCGACAGTCATTTTCATGGCCCGCTCGCGGCAAGGAGAAGATAGAAGGCGTAGCTTCCGAGAATCGGCCGAAATGGGCAACTAATTCCGAGTTCTGCCTTAGAGTATACCTACACGGGAACGATCAGAGAAATTAATTCATTTTGATCCAGCGAGCGTCGAGGCTTCGCGGAAGCTCAGGATGTATTCCAAGATGAATTTTCAACTGCGCTTCAATTATACGTGACAAGCTCGAGGTTGGCAATACATTCCCGGGAATCGCCCGTGAATACAAACGGTGACGTTAGTGTTCGCGGTTGGACGACGTCGGGGAAAGAGGAAGAAAAACGAAAAACACGAGGCGTTACGCGACAGGCGCTACGTACACAAGTCCCCGCGGCCGTAAACGGCGTGTGTTTTGTCGTAACGGCCCGCGTGGCCGGCATTGTCGAAATAGAAGCGAACGGGGGCAAAAAAAGAAGGTAGATGGAAAAAAAAAGAAGGAAACAGAACAACGAGCCGCAAGTCGCGTCGGGCACCGCGAATGATGTTTTGCGCAACGTGAAAGCGGGAGGCTGCGCAGCGCGCAAGCCGGGTCAAGCGTGAAAAGCCACGTGAAGCGGCGTGGCCGACAAACGCACGTGCGCGCCGCGCATTCATTAACCCTTTCCCGGCGTGTGTCGTTAACGACGTTCGACGATGTTCAGCCTCTCCCACGAGGGGGCTCCGCGAGACAATCAGCCGCATGAGAGGTGGGAGGGAGGGAGGAAAGGCGGGGAAGAGGGACAGCGGTTACGATGCTTCGCGGTCGCTAAAAATTCCGAGCGGTGCTTTATGTAATAGGAAAGCCACCGGCGCATGAAATATTTAGCAGTCCGCCGGTGCAACACTTCTCTCGGCCTCGGATCGGTGAATTATCGAGCGTATCGTTTTGCAGAATCGACCAATAAATAGGTAAGAAGCGTGCGCGCTCGTTCACGTGAACCAAGTTACGGAGAAAAGAAGCACCACCACCACTAACGTCATTCTATATTTTCGCAATTCTATTTCCACATCAACGGGGAGAAACTTCCCGGAAACTTTCGGCTGCCGCGAATCGACACGTGCGCGGGTAGAGAACAGCGCCAAGCTGGCCTTCCACGAGAGCAGGTGATTACGCCATGCACGCACAGATAAAGGGGCGTCTACATTAGAAGTAAGAAGTAGGAAGTAAGAGTAAGAAATTGACCAACCACAGTCGAATGTGAGAAGAATAATCAACTGTGATTGGTCAATTTCTTATTCTTACTTCCTACTGCTTACTTCCAATGTAGACGCCCCTTAAGTGTCATTCTACTATGGCGGCAAAAAATGCGATTGCTCAGTTTACTTTTCTTCTCTTAAGTAACGGTTATCTTCAACAGGGAATATTCTCTTGATAAGTTTCAGAATTGAAACAGGTCTTAAAGTTTGGTTTAATTAAAACAAGTCCTCGAGCTTGACGATCTTAAAATATACTCATCATAAGTTGAAGAAAAGCTCATTATAATGTACTTGAGGAAGAGGAGAGGGATTTTTATTCTCTCTACGAGAACATTATGAAACTCTGTACACGAGACATGGCATGCTTAGAGTGCCGGAGACCCCGTGCATATGCTTATGAAATATTTGAAACAACCAACATCTACTTGTAGATGCGGCATGCACTTTTCTGTGTGCAACGACCAAAATTCATGAAGAAACTCAGAAAACGCTCGCGGCGACTTCGTGTTGTAAATCTGATTCTAGACTAGCTACCGTTACTTTGAAAACTGGTTTAAGACCCAAAAGGCGAGGCCGCGAGGTTTTACGGTTCTACAAGAAACTTCACTGACCCTCCCGCCGAGGAGTTAATTAACGTTGGGATTTTAGCTTTCTTTCTTTTCGGCTTACGGTGTAAATCCTAAAGTGGACCAGCGGCAACGACGCACGTTCGAGCTCGTGATTAACGCGAGCGCTTTGAAACGTGATAAAGCTCGCGGTTCGCGACGCGGCGTTACGCGTGAAAAAACTGGATCGGATAAGTGGTTGATAACGGGAAAGTGCCTCGTCGCAGGTGGACTTTTGAAGTCTAGTTCGACTGGTTTCCGGCTTAAATAGCCGTGTAGAAATATAGATACGGATCTAGTCGGTTTTGCTCATTTATCAATAGGATCTGACCAGAAAACTTCATCTAGAGATCAATTGTGTGCTAACACAACTTTTCTGATAAATAGTCAACGAATTTACTACAAAATTTACAATTTCATTGATCAATATCTGGTGAATTTACTCCTTTTTACTATTTTCACCACGTTGTGTTAACGCTACATATACACACTGGGGTCCCTGGGACCCCAGCGCAACTTTGCTAAACGTGCTAAATCGAGATTTTGTTGCGTTTCTTTTCTCTTTTGACCCGTATATCTCGGAACTCCTTAATTCTATTGACTTTTATTCATTATAGGCTCGTTCCTTAATCAATTCTCTATAGAGTAAAAAAAAAGTGAATTAAATTATATCAATTTTTGATAGGGTTACGATAACAAATATAGATGGGGTCCCCCAGTATAGCATGTAGGCAAAATATAAACGGAGGGTTAATATACAATCGACTCCCTGAATCCGACTGGGAGAAATCTTCTTTTCTTTTACAAGTAACTCGCTACTTTTAATAGGGACGCCAGTTAGAAAAATATACAGAGCTTTAGTCGGGTTTATTGGCTGGAATTAGGAGACACGTATAGGAATCCTAAGGCCTGGTTGCACCAACATTATTTTGGCTTTAAGCGAAACTTAAACATATATCTATCTTTATCTTTCTTTCTAAATAAATAAAGACAGACGTGTATACTTAAGTCTCGCTTAAAACCAAAATAACGTTGGTGCAACCGGGTCTAAGTGCAATATCTCGTTTTTTGCATTTATGAAGAGAGAACTTGCTTGAAAGAGTTGAACGAGTTAATCGCCCTTCTCGGGAGAAAGCTTTACCGATCGTAATGAAACTTTTGTTTTCTACTGATGGTTGAATAAAATAAGATATTATACTTCCAATACGTGTTGGATTCTTATGCGTACTGTCTAGTCTTTTTCCCTTTCTTCTTAGGCGACACTAGTACCACCACGGACCTAGGAGTTACCAACTAGAATCCGAGTTGAATGATCAGACATTTACCATCGTGCGTAAGTACACGAGTTCTTGATCGAAGACTGCTTAGAAAGATCAGGAATATACCAAAAACAGGTTTTACGTTAGCGAAGCAGATCGGAATCCTTTTAGTTTTCCTTTCCTTGAGGAAACATCATCGGAATCTAATCATAAATGGGGTAAAAATGGGGAGATTTCTACACGGCTACGAGCTCACGCTACAAGCTGAACAACGACGCAACATTTGTCAGACTATCCCACGGTCCTTCTTTCCTCTCTCTCTATTTTCGCGCACAAGGATACTGAGAGTTCTCTCAGTCGAAACTTACGACGTGCCGCTTGCTCGAATTATCGCGAGTCGTACACTGAGAAAAATTTCAATCGGATAAATCAATTAAGTAATGTATCCGATTGTTAATTTTGCTATCCGATCAAGCGATAAATGCTTTTATCCGATACAATGCGGTTATCGATGGAAAATTAGCCGCCTTTTGTATATCCGTTGTAAATTTTTATCGGATGTGGAACACGATTTCATCGGATGAAATAACGGTAAGATCGGGTGTTGCATGTAATTGGATAAAAAGAAAACAGTCGCGCAATATCCGATTGTATATTATCCGATGGTAAACAATAACCGATAAGATCCATTGGCATAACACGTTCATTGGTCAAAACGGTCTTTGATAGCTCGAAGACGTCTCTTTGTCTCTCTACATTATCGATCTTCATTGAAATTTATGTCATTTGTGCAACATATCGGCTTACTATGAATGATGAAATACATAATGAACAAGAACTGAGTATTACAAGAAATGAATATTGAAGAGGAGGTTATTAAACTATTAATAAGTAAGAGTACTTAATTTTTAAAGCTGAATTTAATATTATAAAGCTCGTCTACGTTAAAAATCGTAAAATCGTGAAAAGTACAGAGTCATATTCGTGATAAGATTATGTTCACTCGATAAGGTTATATTCTGGTCAGTCAAGACAGTTGTAGTTACACGGATATTTATGGGTCGGTATATCCGTTTGGATATGTCCGATTATTTTTCGTATCGGGTATATCCGTTTGTTACTTTTGCATTGGATACTCCGATTAGATATAATTGGATATTTTTCTCAGTGTATAGAAAGCTTATAAAAGAGTCCGTTCTATGGTGCCGCTTGTTAACGCACTTTTTTCCCTCGCACACTCCTCGGGACCAGGCGTCGACTTTCCAGACGACGCTTTGTCCGCCTTTTCTTTTTCCCCGGACAAGTCGCGCAACACACTTGTCTCATTGGCTTTCACCGCCGGACAAAAATCATCGCGTTTTACGCTCGTTTGTCGTCCGCGCGAGTCTCCTCGTCCTTTTTCCGAGCCAATCCGAGGAAGAAGGGAATTCACCGCGCTTCGACGAATGCTCGCGCGAATTACGATACGATTGACTTCGGAGGAAGCTCGGGATTCTTCACGGTTGCGTTTACATCAACCCTTCTCTTTCCCCTCCTGCTCCTCCCGCTCCTTCTCCCTTCATTCCCGCGGAATAGATCGTCGTGTCCTGCCGGTTCTTAAGCTCTCGCCGTCGCAACGGTATATCCCCGACGTGATTAATGGTCCTGGCGAGAGCGCACGGTGAGTGAAA